ATTTCTTTCCATTAGAGCACCACCATATGTTTATGAGCGCGAGAAAGAGGAAAACAAATGGGTGGAGAAATATAGAGAGATGAAGGGAGGGTTGTGAATTGGGTTTGGTTGATGCCTTTGCATGTACATGTCTTCAATTCTCCGGTTTATTTTCAATTAAGTGTACTATACAAAAATAAAAGAACCACCGGCCGCGACGCTACTCCGCCGTCTGACTGCACTTTCTATTTTCTCCCTGCATCTCCACAACAACCGCCTCAGGGGCACCATTGCCCAATTGCCGATTGCTCCAATAACCGCCTCAAGGGCACCATTAATATGGGAACTGAACTTCTCAGATTTAGTTTCGGAGAGAGCACGAGAGAGAAGCTTATTATACACGAGTTTGTTAGTTTATGAAAATATTAATTTTAACTTTTAAATCTTTAATTTTTAATTAGTGTCCTAATTGCACGGAGTTTTATTTTAATTGTTTTTAATCAAATTTGACTTTTAAAAAGATTCTGCACATTAAAACTAAATTGGTAAATGAGACCCATTTATAATTTTAACCACTAAATTCTACAAAACCTCTCCTGCGTCGGAGAAGATTCTGTTTTCATTTAATATCATGAAAACAAAATCCCATTTATTGTATTAAATATCACTTAAAGTTGTCATCAATTGTGATAATTTATTATCTTGTTTTTTAAGATTTTACCGGAGTTATAAGAAGAAAAAGAGATGTTCTGCCAACTGATTATACACTTAAAATAGACTCATTCTCTTTTTTGTGCGATATACTTTCTGCTTCTTATAAAGAAAAATATCAAATAGGAATCTTTGAAGTGGGTGGTTAAAGATGGTATGTTAATCAAGTCATCTACTCATTATTTATTATTATATTGTATTCAACTTAAATTAGAATTTACTTAAATTAGAATTTAATATTTCAGTTCATACATAAAATTCATATTCTATATATCGTGCTACACTTGTATGGTTTCATTTATTTTTTATTGGAATTTACCAACTAAAGATCAAGAACTAGGAAAAAAAATATCAGTCATAAAAGCAACTACAAGTTCTTTGTTTATAAATAGTTAATGACATTATTATTAATATTAAGTTTTACTTATTATTTTCTTTTGCAGGAAATTGTCTCTATATCCTAATGTAGACTTGAAAAGGAATGGGAATGGTTACATTTCTCTTTATTTAATATTGGAAGATGGAGATTTGCTTCCTACTGGTTTTAGAGATTAGCGAATTTAAGTTATTTTTATACAATCATATTGATGGCAAATTACTTGATCGTACAAGGTAACTAACACCCTTTTTCTTGTGATTGATTATCTTGGTGGTCCTATAATTTTCATTTACACAACTTTAGTTTAATTATTTTCGCTCTTTTAATTATTGCAACTCTTCTAGATGGTGGTGAGACATTGCGTCGATTTCACAAGTTGAAAACTGAACATGGCTTCTCTCAATTCATCTCCATTGCTACATTCTACAATGCTTCAAATGGATATTTAGTAAATGACTCTTGTGCTTTTGGTGCTGAAGTCTGTGTTTTGAAAAATAAATCCAAAGGAGAGTATCTGTCAAAGGAATCCTAATGTTCGTAATAGTGATTTCACTTGGAGGCTCGCCTACTCAAAATTGGTTTCCAAGTTCAATTTTAGTAAATATTTCAGTGTTGGTGGAAGGAGCTGGTAGGTATACTTAAAATTATCACCTATTCAATTTAAATTAAATTTACACTCATAATAATATATATGTTCATGGCAATTTTGGCTTGATCTTTTTTTTTTTTCCTTCCCTGAAATTAATTTTTTCATTTTCTTTGTATCAGGAGGTTATAAATGTCCCCTAAATTTGAGGATAAATATCTCAATCTAACTCTTGAGATGAGTGAAATGAAATTCTATTATAAAATTTTAGGATGGTTTTATACAAACTCATTGGAAAGAAATGAGGAGTAGGTCGAATTTATGCTATTGATAAAGGACCAAATACACAACAAGCATTTGGAAAGAACCCACCCACCCCCCTTTTCATTAGATATATAATTATTTGTCTTTTATTTTGCAGTTCACGGATGGTTCACTCCTGGCACTAGTTGGGGCTCTTTCAGTTTCATGACACTCAATGATTTTAATGATCCATCAAAGGGCTATTTAGTAGATGATATTTTCATTGTGGAAGTAAAATTTTTAGTATATATGCACCAAAGAATTTCTTATAACATTACGGGGCTACTTCGTCGAGGATACTTTTCTTCATTGCGGAAGGCAAAGAGATTGTTGTAGACAATAATTTCTAGTTTGAATTTATAATTTAGATTCCACATTTGTTGTTTACATTATGTGTGACCCATGTGAAAGTTTTAGTTTACAAGGATGTTGTATTATCTTTCCTTTCGCAGTTCGCAAATGTTTAATACAGAACCAAGTACACAGTATAACATGAATATGGTAAAAAAAATAATAATATAATCATTATTATATATATAGAAAATAATTTTTCTTAATTTATTTATATAATTATTAATAATATCACTAATTTGGAGTTTAAGGCTACATGTTTGTTGTTTTTCCTTAGTAAAATTTATATTATTTTTTAACCAACTGATAATATACTTTTAATTTCATTGAATTCCATTATTCTAAAAATAATAATTATATTAATTTTTTGCAAATAAAGAGTGAAAAATGCTTCCTTTTTTAATATCTTTCATTTGAGAACAAAATTGTGTGGTTGTACATTTCCAAAATTCATAGACTTACAACATTGAACCAGAGATATTTTGCAAGATTTTAAAGCTTTTTCACAATTAATTTAGCAATGACAAATTATAAAATTCCTCCTATTCCAAATTAATTTGCAAATATATATATATATATATATATATATATATATATATATAAGGAAACTCGGAGGACACTTACTTATTTTTTGAACAAAAACACCCCCTGAAGGTTCAAAAATGGACAAAGACACCCCTCTACATGAGAAATTGACCAAATTACCTTTTGATCTTTTAGGAGACTTTTTTAACTTTACAATTTAATAAATTGAACCAATCTACCCTCATGAACAATTTATATTGTTCAACATTTTTTTTTTTTTAAATGTCCCAACTTCTTAAAAATGTAGACGTCTAAAATGATTTTTTGATCCCGTACATATATTTCAAATAAATTATATTTTGTTATTACTTCTTTTTTTTTTCTTTTTTTTTTTAAAATTAAGATGCTTAATTCTTTCATCTAAAAATATTAAACTAATCTCTTTTCCTTAAAAATAAAAAATATGGTCCAAGTATAACTTTATGCATCTTAAATTATATATTAAATATTATGCATTTCTCAACATAAACAAAAATAGGTACCATTATAACTTTATGTATCTTAACTTTATGCATGCCTTTTTAATTTTATTTTTTTCCCCTTTGTTTGATTATTATTATTTTTTTCCCTTTATTTTATTATTATTATTTTTTCCCCTTTTATGTTGGGAAATATATAATATTTTATATATAATTTAAGATATATAAAGTTATACTGGTACCATATTTTTTATTTTTAAGGAAAAAGATTGGATTAATTTTTTAGATGAAAGAATTAAGCATCTTAATTTAAAAATAAAAAAGAAAAAGAAAACAAGTAAAAACAAAATATAATTTATTTGAAATATATGTATTTGATCAAAAAGTAATTTTAGACGTCTACATTTTTAAGAAGTTGGGACATTTAAAAAAAAAAAAAAAAAGTGAACAATATAAAGTTTTTTTATTTTTTATTTTTTTATGCATAAATTGTTCATGAGGGTAGATTGGTCCAATTTATTAAATTGTAAAGTTAAAAAAATCTCCTAAACAGTCAAAGGATAATTTGGTTTATTTCTCATGTAAAAGGGTGTCTTTGTTCAAAAAGTAGGTAAATTTCCTCCGAGTGTTCTTTTGCTAAATCTCAAGGGGTGTGGCTGTACTTTACCCATATATATATATATGTATATCGTTCTACTCTTATAACTACCAGCGACGGTTTAAACCGCTGTTGCTGGTAATTCCTTTACCGGTGGTTTTACCTAACCGTCGGTATAGCCACTGCTGCTAGGTTTTACTTGTGCGTTTTCTAAAATGGTTTTATTCAAGCTCTTTTGAAAGAAATAAGATGTTGTCAATTAATGCACGTTGCTGATAAAGGACCAAATACACAACAACCATTTAGAAAATTAATATACTTATTCTTGCCGTGCACCTATCTAACTTTAATTTAAGACTACAATCATAAATTGTAAGAAAATATCGTATTATAGTTTAGATATTTAAATTGTTCTTATTTTATACTATCGAACACATGGTTCGTCCCATATGCACCATTTAATTGCTTAAAAACTTTAGTATAAGCAACCTGAGTTAGGGACTTCAGACTCTCAACCTATGACAAGTGAGTCTAATCTATTTAAGTGGTGAGTGACATTCCAAAACAAAACAATAAATTAGCAATTTGTTAAAAAGTTCAATGTACTCAATTAGTGTAACGGTGGGCGTTTGTCCATTTATTTAAAAATTTAAATTATTTGATAATATTACATATCCACCCATTCATACCCATTCAACAAGTGCCTTGTAGTCACTAATGTAAATGACATGTAAAATATGCTAACACACCCCCCAAACTTAATCTGTGCATTGTCTTTAATGTACAAAGAAGTAACAGATAATGGAAAGAGTATACCAAATGGGTGTAGCAAGTGGGACCCGACAACGGAAGCTTAGTATTGGAAGGCATATGCCTAAACTTAGATTACGAAATCCTATCTAAAAATAGTCACACTAGCAACTATTAAAGCATATGCACCAATTATATAAATGAGAGGTAAAACTAAGAACTGGCAAACGATATGACATATAGCAATATAAAGCTTAGAATATCCAAAACTGATATCCAAATCCAAAAATTCGTATATATCAAGTCCAAAACCATAATCCAAAAATCCAAAGATGCATAGAAATCCAAAACCAAATATCCAAAAATTAAATATATCCAATGCAGTGCAAAAATATCCAAAGTATCAAAAACCAGTGCAAATATCAAAACAGTACAAAAATATCCCAAAATAGCAATGTATCAAAATATCAATGTATCAGCGCAGGTATGATTAATACAGATAGGGATAGAGATAGAGATAATGGTGGAATTAAGGAGCAGGATCAGGCGTCATCATGTCGGCAATGTGCTGTAGCATATCGGACATCTACTTGTTGTATCGAGTGAGATCAGTCTGTAAATCTGCCCGTAGTGTAGCAATGTCTCTCTTCACCTCGGTAACCTCAGTCCTCAGCTCATCAGATCGCCGAACCATATCCTCATGTCACCTCACCATATCATCATGTCTCTGCACCAGGTCATCATGACTCCTCGTGATGTCCCCATGCCGCCCAGTCATGTCAGCTCTAAAAGAAATAAAGTCTGTCTATAGCTGAACTATGTCAACTTTGTAGCTGAAATCAAAACTAGCATAATGGGATCGAGAATCAGCCTGTGGCATCTGCTCTGGAGAAGGAACATGTGAAGGGTCGGCTTGCTGGGATGGAAGGGGTATATCTGGCTGTGAGGTGGATGCGGAAGTAGTAGTACGACGCCTCTGTCTAAAGAGGTGATCCATCAAGTCCCTCAGCTGCCTCCGCTGCCGCTGCATCCTCCTAAGCTCTCTCCTGATCTTGCTTCCTCTTCTGATCTGTATTCTTTCTACAAAAATTTAAAGTCTTATTCCATTTTGTAATGTTATATGCTCTCCTAGCTCTCTACACATCAGTCTCAGGAATCTCATCCGGTTCAAAGGGATAGCCCTGGTCAATCAACAACTGTGTAATCAAGTGGCCAAATGGTAGTGGCTAAGCATCAGCTCTAGAATTGTGCATGTTCATCATGTTGGCCCAGTATTTGTTGATAATCTCCCGGATAAGAGCGGGAATGGAGATCCAGTTTCCTTGGCTCAAATAGTAAAGAGCCCTAAAAATCCCCTCCCGTCTCTGTGTACCATGGCCTGAGGGAAAGGCATTGAGATGTAGCAAAAAATCTTGAAACAAGTATCGGGGATCAATCTCAATCCGGTCTGCAAATGTATTACCCTCAAAGGCAGCATACGGAGATATAGTCGCAACCATGGTTAACTTAGAGGGGTACTTCGGAATAATGGGATAAAATGGCTCCTTAGAGTTAGCGACCAACGGTGGAAGGTGGGGCATCGACAAATAACAGAAATGTCAGGGATATAATTGTTGATATCATACCATCTATAGTTGTATGCATAAGCTGTCTGTTATCCTCATCGATCCGGAGGTACTCGAAGAATAGAGCAACCAACCGAGGATAGACTACAATGTCTACCAGAGTCATAAGGGCATCAATGCCCCTTCGGGTGAGCTTATCAAAAGACCACTTGGTCTGCTCCAACTTGGAAAATTGAGCATGGTCGAATTTGAACTCTAGTTTAAGCTTCCTGTTAGAGAAAAATGGTCTAGGTACTGCTCTGACAACTGGGCTTTGCTCCTCCATAAAAGCTGGCTCGAAATGAGCTGATGCAGATGGTGTAGCCTAGGAAGATGAAGAAGACTCTATCGGAGGAGATTGAGGAGGCTGTGCAGCGATAAGGTAAGAAATTGATAAGAAAACATAAAGCATGCCTGAATCAAGTAAAAATAGAGAATAGACACATAGGATCATGTTTGTGCAAGAAATGATCAAGAAAGTTTCAGAAATATCATTCAACATGCTTCAACTAAACAAGAATAGATCGTGGCACAATAAGTAATCTCAAATGGCAAAACAATGCAATGAGGGCAGAAAATTCACTTTTGGAACATTTTGAGCAAATATGGATCAAAAGGATAAGTATAGGATGGGATGTGCATAAATGATGCAATGTGCATTCACAAACCTAAAACTCAAGAAGATTCTACAAATTCATGGCAAGTAGACCCTAGGATGATATCGTATCAATTCCTAAGTAAGAATGTCTACAAAATCAGCATTTAAGATCAATGTGGCGAGCAGGATAACATGGAGTATATAAGCATGGCGACTGTCAACCTAGAACTCAAGAAACATGTGTATCATGAAATAAAGAGTAAGTGAAATGCACAGTTACAAAATACTTCAATCCTAGGCATGTTATGATATATAAGTTCAAAAATGAATCCTAAACATGGTATGCAACTAAATGGCATATATCTGAATGATGCATAAATATCAACAAACTCCAGAAAAAAGAAATATCATGTACTCCATTGCAACAAAATCAACATCGTATGATCACTTCATGGCTCGTGACCCCCTTTTAAAGCTTAAATGAAGCAAAAAATGGTCAACAAATAAAAATAACAAGAGACTTACCATTTTTGAATCAAATTCAAGACCGGAAAGAACCTCGGTCTCAAGCCCTTACTCAGCTTTCAGAAATGGATCATAAGTGTATAGAAATAAGCAAATGGCATTTGAATATCATCTTTCCAAGAAAAGACACACATACAACTAAACTTGGTTCAAATTGCATTTCAAAATTCCAAATAAGCTTAAGAAGTGATACTAAGGCCAAAGAACAACAATGGCATCCCAAACATGAATTTTTACCTCTAGACATCCATTTCCCACCCCCAAACTTATTCAAAGATCAATTCCAAGAAGATTTATTCAAAAGAATACACATAAACTCCCAAAACCATCAATGTGACATAAGTGTGTGCAAAATGGTGTATATAAAAGTAACAAGTTACAAATTATTCCAAATTGCACACAATTATATAAAGAAGATCACATTTGACAAGTTACAAGTTCATAAAGCAACAATAGAATCATTTGACTTCAAATAGTTTGGTTTAAAATGGCAATTCAACTCAATTTTCAAGATAAGTTCAAAATCATGAAAGATGAGGTCAAAAGACATCAAACTTGTGATCTAAGATAGAAAGAATCAAGAATTTAGCACAAACAAGTTCAAAGGCACTTAGAATATGAAATTGCATGGAAAGGAATCAAATGGAACATGTTTTAACTCAATCAAGGGCATTTTGGTCAACTTTGAAATTTTTCAACACTTTTGGGGCAAAATTGGAATTTTTGAAAACTTTGGAGTCCAAAACATTTTTATGCATTGTAGGTAAACATTATAACAAGAATTATGCATTGAATGAACCACAAAAGAAGGAATTAAGCAACTTGACCTCTCATTTGCAAACAAAGTTCAAAAATTCTTTTTTAACATTTTGAAACCAGCAAGTGTTAAACATTCAAGGATCATTTTACCAAAATAAAGCACCTTATCCATGAGCTATAGCCAATTGAAGATCAAAACTTTTCAAGACAGTCCATTTGAAACACATTTATGCGATATAAACAAGACTTCTCATTTTAAAAAACAAAGAAAAAGTTTCAAGTCAAGTCATACTTGCATGCATTTAGAACAACTTAAGATCAAACACATGCATGCATTTCATACTCAAAACAAACAAATGAAACAAGTTGGGAACCATGCTCACAACATTTCAACTTCAATGCCATTTCAAGTTCTAAATATCCAAGAATTTTTCAAGCTCAAGAAGATTTCCATTTCATTTCAAATATCAAGAAAAACAATTCCTTTTAGAAATTCAAGTCTCCATTTTAAGTTAACAAACAAATTTTCAAATCCATGACATTTCCAAAGTCCAAATTCAATCAAAAATTTCACATTTTATTTACAACTTGAAGTTTCAAATCAATTTTCCAAAGACTTGAAATTTTTTCCTTTTTCAATTCAAACCAATTATGACATCTAACTTTAAAAATCCATTTTCAATTCAATTGCAATTTAAGCTTTCAAAAACAGACCACATGCCATCTAGAATTTAAAACCAAAGTTTAAGCTTAATTTTACAAAAATCTAGCATGGGTTCCCCTTAAAAATGAATTTTTCCAAAATTTTTCAAAGGCATAACAACAAAATCAATCAATTCCTAAACACATCACAGGGGACATCGCTCACAAACATAATTCATATTCAAAATTTTCGCCCGTGTACCTTCTAAACTACCAACATGATCCATTCTCCATTTTTCATTTCTGCCCAAAATACAATGTTATCCCAATCATTCATTCAACTAGGTCACAGTCCAAAGTCCATGGGTCTATTTTTTTTTACAATTTTTATTTATTTATTTATAATTTTTTTTTTAATTTGATTTTTGATTTTTGATTTTTTAATTTTTATATACCATTTTCTATTTTTTATTTTTTATATTTTAACATCAAACATATATACAACAAAAATATAAAAAGCAAGAATTAATCAAACTAAAAATGAAAAATGCAAAAATAAAAGAAAAATAAAATAAAAAATAAAAAGAAATGAATCTACACATACCCGATCCAAAAGATGGAATAGAGGATTGAAACGGAGAGATTCGAGATGAAATGAAGAATTCCGGCCTAATCTTGGCCGGAAGTGGTGACCGGAACCTCACTGGAAGTTCGCCGAAAATTGCAGACGACACCAGAGTGAGAGATCGGGGTCTTCTTGGCCTACATCTGCCAGAGACAATGAGGATGAGAGAATCCAAGAGAGATAGGGCCAGGGAGATGAAAACGAGCTTGGCTATGGAGACGGTGGCTTTGCTTGGGTAGGTCTTCGTCGGTGATGAAGATATGGTGAGGTTAGGTGGGTTGGGTTCGTCCTTGCTGGAGATGAGGGAGAGATATAGAGGGATGAGAGATTGAGAGAGTGAGAAGAGAGTTTGAGAGAGGGAGGGTTATAGGGAGAGAGAGTGCCGAGAGTTACAAGGGAGAAGAAGAGGTAGAAAGAGAGAGAAAGAAAGAAGAAAAGAAAAGAAAAAGAAAAAGAAAAAGAAAAGAAGGGAGGAGAGAGAAAATGAATAAAAAATAGGGTTTAGGGTTGAAAATCAGCGACCAAAGTAAGTCTCAAAAGTTCAAAAGACGTAAGTTTATTTTGATCGATCGAAGGGGTTTTCGATCGATTCAACACTTACTTCGATTGATCTAGGATAAATTTTGATTGATCTAGAATTCCTTCAATCGATCAAAGAGAAAGATGAAAAGTCATGCATTCAAAGGGTACGATCGATTGAAGTGGGCTTCAATTAATCAAAATGGGCTTTGATCGATCGAGAGAACACTGGAAGTGCAGAAAATGCAAGAAACTGTCCGGAAACTGGAATAATCAACTTCAACTCATATCTAGATCACGCAAAAAATAACAAAACAAGAAATGAGGGAGGAATAGGGTTGGAAAACCCTACAAAGCACTAATCTTTAATATCTTAACAAGACGTTGGGCTCTTATAGCCCGGATCAAAGATCTTAGTGGACATCCCCTTCTCAATAGGGTGAATATAACTTCGAACCCCACCCAACAATTTATTCCCTAAGAAAATTGTTGGATTTGGTTCAAGTGAAAATTAACAGCTTCTTATTAAAAACATTTTTGGGCTTCCATGCCCATTTAACACTACAATTTAAGACAACATCTTTTGAAAAATCTTTTAGAGGAAAATCATTTGAATTTTCAACACTAAGTAAGGACTAATTTTTTTAACTTCATTTTCAAAACATTTTTCAACAACACAAATGCCTTCATGTTTCTCCATTGAATTGGGAAATGGATTAAAAATGTTTAACTTCACTTTCATGTAGCCAACAGAGATCTTCATTATCCCCGTCCTACAATTGATGTTGGTATTAGCGGTAACCAACAAGGGACAGCCAAGGATAACGGGTATTTAGCTTTTAGGATTTGGGACCGGTTCTGTGTCGATAACAACGAAATCAACTGGGAAGAAGAACTTGTCAATTTTAATCAAAACATCCTTTATGATACCTCAGGGCTTCTTAATGGATCGATCGGCTAATTGCAAAACTACCGATGTCGATTTTAAATCACCTAAGCGCAATTCGACATAAACTAAATAGGGAACAAGATACACACTCACCCCTGAATCCAAAAGAGCCCGATTGATAAGATGATCACCTATAGTACATGAAGTAGTGGGTGAACCGGGGTCTTTGAATTTCGGAAGAATGTTGTGTTGAAAATCGAGCTCACTTGCTCGGTAAAAACAACTTTCCTAGGTGCTTGGCTTTTGTTCTTCCTCTTAAGAGTGCAAAGATCTTTAAAAAATTTGGCATAAGCCAGAATTTGTCAAATTGCATCCAAGAGAGGAAGATTGATTTTAACTTGCCTAAACACATTAATGATTTCATTAGTTTTGCTTTGTTATTTTTCAATAGAAGTGGATGCTTTCAAAGCATCCAGAAATGGAGCCTTTGGCTCAAAAGATTTTTAAAAAACTTTCTTTGAAACATTCTCAACAACTTTGTCCTTTTCACTAAATGAAGGAGGAGTGGAATGTGAAACGGGACGGGTGTCAACACTAGGTTACACCGGTTCGCTCTCTTCATTAGACTCACCAACTTGATTGTCAATAATTTTTTCACTTCTCAAAGTGGTCACCGCATTTACATGTTCAAGTGTAGATTTTTCGAATGGGAAACGGTCTCTACAATAAATTGTTGCTTTGGTGGAGGATTCAAAGGCATATTTCCTTTCTCCCTTGTATTCAAAGTGCTTGCTATTTGCCCTACTTGGGTTTCTAGCTTTGTAATTGATTGGGAGTGGGAATGAAGCAATTGAGTGTTTGCCTCTAAAGTACCTAAAGTCAATAAAACTTTCTCTTTAAATACGGGACTCCTAGAATGACCTTAAGAGTATGATGGTTGGTTTGGAAAATGAGAATTTGAGAATTGATTTCCATTTGGTGATTGGTAGGATGAACTATAACCTTGGGAATTTTGATTTTGCATGGGAGGTGGAACATACTTACTTTAGAAACCACCTTGGGAAGGGTTTGAGCCTTCCTCTTTGCTTTTCTAAGAGAAATTTGGATGGTTCCTCCACCCAGGATTATAATGACTTCCATAGGGATTATTCCTTTGATTCACAAAAGTTGTATTCATTTGTTCAAGGTGTTCATTGTGCATATATCCATGGGAACAATTGGAAGTAGTATGCAAAACACTAGAATAAGTTATGTATGATTCATTGGAATGATGATGATGATGAGGAGGAGGAGAAGTAGACCCTTGATAGGCCGAATTTTGATTGATAAAAAATTGATCAAATCTTTGAGATAGAGATTTTACTTCGACAACTATATCATCAGAATTGTCAACGTGATATAAGCTTGAATTCTTCCTTCCACCTACATTTCTATTGGTGCATTGAGTTTTTACTCATACTTTCATATAAGCGCCACACACCATCTTCATGTTTATTAAAATAGGAACCCCTCATTGAGGCATCAACTATGCCTTTATGAGTGTCCGACATACTTTCATAAAAGTGTTGAACTATTTGCCACTTTGGAATGTCATGACGGTGACATTTCCTAAGCAAATCATTCAACCGTTCCCATGCCTCATACAACATTTCCCTATCACTTTATGAAAATTCACGAATTGAAGTACGCATTGTATTGGTTTTAGACACAGGATAATACTTACTCAAGAACTCTTGTTGCATTTCTGCCCAAGAAGTTATAGAAAGTGGGTCTCAAATTGTTAAACCAATACATTGCCTTATCTTTTAGAGTGAAGGGAAAAAGTTTCAACCTCAAAACTTCTTCCGGCATGTCCGTATATTTTACGGTGGAATAAACTTCAATAAATTCATCTAAATGCTTTTAGGGTTGTTCATTAGGTAGCCCAAAGAAATTGGGAAGCATTTGAATTGTTTGTGGTTTGATCTCATAGTGATGTGCTCTAAACGAAGGAAGTTTAATACATGTTAGTGCATTGTATTCATTTGGCACATAATGATCTTTCAAAGCCATAGGAGGATTTGCAATTGGTGGCTTAACATAAGCCTTATTGTTGGTCTGGACAATGGGAGGTAGAGGTGGTACAAAGAATGGCCTTGGCATTCCAATTGGAACTTGGTCTTGTGGTTGTGGAACAAAAGGTCTAGGCATGCCCAAAGGGACTTGTACATTGTCTTGTTGTTGCACATTCGGATGGAGTATACCATGTTAGTCTATGTGGCCAAGATCTTCAACGTGGTCGTCCATTAATGCAATGGATCCACTAAAACTACCCCTACCTCTTGGATTGCACACAATCGATTCAAGATTAAGGTTCAATAGACAAGAGTAGGATTTAAAGATTTACGACCATGCATGCACAATGCAAATCAACACAAGCAATTAACAAAACAATTATCAAACACTTCTCTACAACAATCAATCAACAACAATCCTCCACATACGATTATCACATACTCCCATGCTTTTAACAAATGCAAGAAAAATAAATTGCCTCCACGCGGGCCGACGATTTAACTAAGCAAAAGGAGTTAGAATAACTCACGAAGAGTCTTTAATCAACTTCATGATATTTTAAAGCTTTTTGCTTTGCTTTGCAATTTTTATTTTATTTTTGCTTTTTATGCTTTTGTTTTCTTTGCTTTGTCTTAAGGTTCCTTTGCTTTACTTTCCTTTCTCCAAGTACTTAGCCAAGCAAGAGTAACATAATAAGAAAATAAAATAAAATAAAGTAAAACAAGGATCAAAGGAGTACTAATTCCTAATCAATTCCTAGTAATGCGTTGCTACTCCCCGGCAACGGCGCCAAAACTTGGTCGTGCACGTCGCTTAACATGCCAAATTGATGTCATTGTGGCTAAGTTTGAATTTATAAAAGTCACTACCACTACTAATTACTAATGTAGCAAGAGTAAGTAGGGATCGTCCCAAGGGATTTGCATATTACTTAGGAGTCAATATCAGATTAGTAAGTTAAATGATCAAAGAAGGATTTGTTGGTTGAATTAAGCTAATGGCTCAATTAAAATTAATGTAATTTAAAACAATCTAGAAATTAGAGTAAAGAGAATGAGAGGAAGGTCTTGGGGCTTAGAGTTCACCACTAAGCTTCACCTCACTAAACACTTGGTACTTGTTAATTTAAGGGGAGTTTCATGTTGTAAAACAAATGTGTGCGTGATTAATTGAAATACTAAGCATAGATGGCAAATTAAGTATAACTTGTCCAATCAAACTGGTGAGTAGTACAACCTATTAAACTAAGCCATTAACCATTCAATTAAACCGCAAGTAATACATACACAAAAATCTAAAGAAATGTACCACTTGTACCTATAAGCATGGATCATCAAACAATAAGAATGGATTGTCCACCTATCTAGGAAATTAAAACAATTACATTACATCTAGACTAATGACATGGAAATTAAACTAATTAAACTAAGGTTGTGGCACAATCTGTAATACCCTTAATTTAAAAATGATAGTCTCGGTATTTTTACTTGTTTCTTTTATTTGCATTTTTATATTATTGGTTCACTTTCTTGGTTATTTGTTTAATTGCTTATTTTATTAATTGTGCATGTGGTTATTTTATTTAGTTGTTTATTTGTTTGTATGATTCGATGCGGTGTGTTAAGTCTTTAATGGTAATTAATTGTTTAAATTAAATTAAATATTTTTCTATTTATTTTATTGTGAAAAGGAGTTGGGCTTGGACAGTATTAATGGACCAACCGTTTGGGTCTCATGGATTACTTGGATATGACGTTAAATGGGTACGGTTAATACCTATGGATGGTTATACATATATATATGTGGTATATATGTATCTTTATGGATATTATATTTATTAATATTTTAAATAATTAATATTAATAATTATAATTAGTTGTATATATTTATATTGTTATAAGTTAATTAGTTGTATATATATATATATAATTAGTTGTATATATATATATAGTTGTGTGTGTGTATATATATATATATATATATATATATATATATATATATTTTTCATAACGTACAGACTTATATGTAGTTATTCTTTTATTTTTATTTTTCT